GCGATATCTAATGGTGCCAAGTATCAAGTGTGACTTCTAGACCAACTGTGGAAGTGAAGATGAAGTTTCTCCCACTAGCCTTCCTCCTCTGTGTCCTCCCCGAGGCAGAGAGGTCAACTGGAACTCTAGAAAAGATGCCTCATGAATATGGGTATCTGTGATGATGTAGATTAGAGTGCTACGAAAGGTGGATAGTGGTAGATAGAGATACGCAGCCCATATCTCCCTTCAAGGAAGGTGTTGTACCCAGCAGGGAGAACACAGTTAGCAGACAGTCTCTAGATGAAGCTCCCTTTGGGTCTTCCCATGTTGCAAGACTCTCATCCTTGTTAGAGTCATGTTCTTTCCAGGGCAGACCATATCTGGTGACTGAGAGATCTGGGGGATATAAAGATCTAGACATTTTGGCATACTATAGTATAATTCTGGTAGATATAATTTACCTTAGAGCTTCCATCATGTTACTGATGCTTTGTCCAGCCTCTATTGCACTTTAAGTCTGTCTTTTCTTTCCTTTTCCTTCTTTGCATTGGTGTTGATCTCTAATAAGCATCTTGTATTCAAACTTTGCCTACACATCTGCTTCCAGAGAACCTAAACTTCTATATACTTTGGAGGCAAAGAAAGAGCTTTCTTGCTATGTAATTTATTCACTCTCCCTAGCTGCCATTTCCTCATCAGTAAAATGGGGGTAGCAAGGTTTACTTCTCATGGTTGTGTGAGGCTTATGTGAAATAAAGTGTGTAAATCACTAGGTACAACATTTGGCACACAACAGTATTCAGTGAGTACTTCCATTTTACTGTTGTTTTAAAGGGAAGCTCCCTCAGAAATTGAGAGTTTCCTATAAACAGCTTTGTGAGTTTTCTGTTGTGGGAAAAGAGCAAAGTGTTTAATTTTCTGGGCACTGTGTTGATAATAATAATGGCTAATGCTTACAAACCATAAACTATGAACCAGGTATATCCTAAGTGTGTTGCACATACTAACTCAACCCACACCACAACCCAATGAGATAGGTCATCCTTAGCTCCATTTTACAAATGCAGAAACAGACACAAAGACGTTCACTAAGTGGTCTGAGCTCTCAAAGCTTAGAAGTGAGAGAACTGGGTTTTGAACTCATGCAATCTGGCACCAGACTCTCTGCTCTTGCCTCCTAGAATATACTGCCTTTTGGCAAATCCTTGTAAGGATGCAATTTATTCAAAAAGGAATTTGAGGTATAATGAGACAATCCTTCCTCCAACTGCCCACTTCCTTTTTGCACCCTTCCAAAACTCATTTTTCTGAATAAGAAAGAGGAAGAGGACAAGAAAGATGTCACCTACCTACAGATAGACTGAGGGTCATTAATTCTGACTGAAGCCTCAAGAAAGGAAGACGTCAGAACTCCTGTCTCCTTGGTAGAAAGGATGAGGATAAGAGAAGTTGACAATGATGGTGTCCTTGTAAAATCTTAGGTATTTGAAAGTCATGGGTCGGCTTTTTCAAAAGGTCTTTATTTGCTTAAATTAACAAAAAATTGGCTACATGCTATTCTCAGGTAAACTGCTTTTTCACTGAAGCAGAAAGCAAAATTCACAACTTGGGTTGATACACACTTGAAGTTTTAGTTTTTAAATAGCAAGCCAGAATTCTGTACAAAATCAACATTTGGTATAATGTCCAAATATGTGAAGGATTTTAAATGTTAGCTTTGTTACATTTTGTTCCAATTCAAAACACAATGTTGATATTTTATTAAATGCCTTTTAGGGCTTAATAAATACAGTACACACATTGAGTTTTCTCACGCACCTACTCATATACAGATATGCCAGTTACCCTTGAGGGTTAATGAAAGGTCAGCCTCAGTCTCATGGCCAATGGGGAGCCAACATTTTAAAAGAGGAAATAAAAGAGGAATTGAAAGGCAGCAAGAGGGGTGATCACAGATCTGAATTAAAAAGATAAAAGAAAAATATGCCCCTTGGCTGCTCCGTGGGTTGTGATCTATTTTCACAGAGCACAATGTGATATATGTCCTGCTGTCCTGGCCCTGGACGTGCTGGTAATCTTTGATGCTTTCATTCCTTAATTCTTTGAGGATGGCCCTGATTGGCTCTCCTTCAGCTTTGTATGGCTTAAATCAGCCCATCAGGCAAGTTTGACCAACTCTTCCTTCACTCTGCAGTCATGCATGGTTGTTGTCTCCATTAAGTGCTGTGGAGTTGGTTCTGACTCACAGTGACTCTGTATAGGGTTTCCAAGAAGCAACTGGTGGATTAGCACCAAGGACCTTTTGGTTAGCAGTGCAGTGCTTATCATACAGCACATACATAGGACAGATATAATTTGTCATTCAAATGCAAGACTTTTGAGAGTTAAGAGGACATTGTTAGTAATTATCCTGCACAACTGGCATACGCTAGGCTTGTCTCAGCAAAACCAGGATATTGGTCACCCAACTACAATCAAAACCAAAGTTGTAGTCTTGCTTTCCAGCAGGGCAGGATTGTATTTTACCCATCACATTATATCTAATTAAGTCTCTCTCATATCCAGAGCCAAGGAACTGAAAACAGACCTTGAAATACACTCCATAACACAGTTGTATTACTTTTCCTAGACATTTTTTTCTTCCCTCCAAATTAAATTTTACTTGGAACTCTTAACATAAAACAAATGAAATCTGAGCTGCTCTGAGTGGAATAGGCATGGGGGCTGAGAGTTTCTCCTTCTCCTCAGCAGCTCCTCAAAACACAGCTTGAAAACCACCATTATAGACTATACTCTTTCCCTCTCAACATTAACTGGTTCCTCAAAAACATTGCCACATGATTTGTTTTGGTTGGAAAGGACTTGAGCCTACTACTTTAAATTTTCCTATTTCTATTCCAGCTAGGCATGCATACCCAGACAAACTGGAAGTCTGTTGTACTGTGGTCAGTCCTGGTACCTAGCAGATCTTCAACACATGCTTACTGAATGAATGAGTATATGGTAGGACTCAGAGAGTGCTGGCCTTATGGAGAATCCTAACAGCGTCCTGGGAAACATTCATCAGAGAACTTGATGAATTGTATGAGTGAGGATTTGGAATAGTTTCTCAATCCAGAGCTACTTATAACAGGAGAGACCCTCAATCTTCATTTCCCACCCCCTTTCCATGATCTAATCTCAGGACATGGGTAGCAGTAGGCAACGCAAGCAGCTTTAGCTCTGTGTGGTATTGCTCATGGTGGTGGTGATGCTGTAGGGCAACGGATTTCGGGAAGAGAAATGCATCCGGAAGTGGCAAAGCTCACGGAGGGATGATGAGGACTAGAGGATGGGGAAACATCTCAGCCTGCAGCAAAAGCTGACACTGAGCAGTCAAAGATAGACAGTTCTAAGAGAATGTGCTGGGAATTCTGGGAAGTAACCAGCAAACAGTCTTGAGCAATATAAGTAAGACTTGATGCTATTAACCAACTTTTTATATAAACGTAGATAGTACCAGAAGGGTCATTGCTTATGGTTGCTCATATGTGTACAGCACCATGTCCGTTCTTCTTTAGTCTATACAGCGCCTAAGGAAGGCCCACCTGCTAGACCCAACACATCATCACTCAGTGGAATCATGGTTGAAACATTTGGGAAGAAATAGGGTTACCTTGCATTTTCAAACATATTAAATGACCATAACATCACAGGCATCATTGTCTAGTACAAAAAGTGTGTATTTCTCAAAAAAGTGTTTGTCTCTGTGTGTGTTCAGGTGAGTGTGTTTGCATTCTATGTGTATCTAGTGGTTCTACAGAATCCCTTACAGAATAGGTAAGAAAGCCTAGAAAAGTAGTATGATTGTGAGATCTCTTGTTCTCTGCCTCAATGAGTCTGAAGCCAGGAACAGGAATGTTTATGGAGTTCCCAGGAGATGATCCTGGAGAAATGGGTGAGTGGTATTGTAGCCCAATCAATCTTTCTCAACTCTAGCTGCAAATATGAATCAGCTGGGATGATTTGGAAAATACTGGGGGTCCATTCCAGACCCCTGGATGTGAGCCACTGGCACTTTTTAAAAGGTTCCTCCCACAAAACAAAATGAAAAACAACAATCAGCTGCCATCCAGTCAATTCCAACGCATGGTTACTCCCTATGAGTCAGAGTAAAACTGAGTTCCATAGGGTTTTCAATGGTTAAGTATTCCTAAGTAGATCACCAGGCATTTCCTCCAGAAGCCTCCCCAGGTGATCCTAATATACAGCCCAGTGTCTCATTTATTAGTGATAAGCTGATGATTATCTAAAACCCAAAATAAGTCAAAGTTTAGATTTCAGGGAGAACGTCCCTCCCAACTCCAACTCGGAGGAGAAATCTCTTCACATGGGCAGCCTTTTCTTGAAGTCCTTTCACTGGGTATGAAGCCTGGGCGCAAGGCAGGATTGGTCTCCATCTCGGGGCTCTGTTGGGGTTGCCTGAAAGGTAACTTCTGAAGAACAGACCCCTGAGCACGTATGGGTCATCTGAACATTACGTTTCTTCCATCTGATGAAGTTAGTTGAAACAGAACAAGCCACAGGTATCTGAATATTGCTGGGTTTTCATTAGTCAAAATTATCCAGGGTTTCCTGATATTTATTTTATCTACAGTAATTACTTGAGACCATCCTCCTCTGATAACTCACCATCCTGTGTCATTTCTGAATCTTAAATAAAGGTTATTTTTAATATATATACAGCTACTATTGTTCATCTATCTAAAAAAATATGATAACTTTCATGAATTCGACAACTGTCACTAAAGAGTTATTAATAAGGTAACACGTAAAGCACCATATTTTTGCAACTAGTAAGAAATCTGCCACATATTGCATATTAGTTAAAGGAAAATAGAATTTTTAAAAGCACCCCCGAGTCGGCTTACAATTAGATCTCCAGATGGATATATGCAGTTTATTATACTGGACTGATAATAGACGCATAAAATAACACTGAAGACTTGCTCGTGTGTTACAATACAAATATTGAGAGTCCAGAGAATGACCCGAGAGGCATTTGCATTACCTTGGACCGTCCCTACCCATTCAGTATGAGCCATCTGTCAAGACCTGCACCACCCGCCAGTCCCCAGCGAATGAAGAAAGCTATATTTGAACCTTCTAGTTCTCATTTTCCAAACGTAATTTTAAAACTGTCCACTTAGATGCCTAAAAGCACTGCTTGTTTTTCCATTTTCCTCTCCAGTAACTCTTTTAAGCTCTCATCTCTGTGCTTGAAGTATAAGTAATCAGAAAAAGAGGGGCCCCGCCGGGTGCTCTGAAAAGCCCTGAGACTTAGGCACTCATCTCGGAGGGCAAACACTCGCTCCTGACCGCCTTCGGCACCAGGATTGTCTTTGCTCAGCTCCTGCAGCTCTTCTTTGTGCACTTCGTCCTTCTCCTCCTCCTTCTCCTCCTCCTCCTCGCAGTGGTCTCTGGGAGACCTGGAGGCCTGCTCGGGTTTTCTGGACAAATCCTGCGGTGAGCAGAGCGGCTGGAGACGTGGGGCGGGGCCGGGGCTATAGGGCTCCACCTCGTAGCTTGGCTCCTCCTCCTCCTCGTGGCACGAGCTTCCCCTGGCGCTCTCACTGTCTGAATGAAAAGCTGGGCCCTTCGCCCGGGGCTTCTGGGAAAGGTCAAAGGGCTCCTCCTGTTCCAGACTCCTCAGTACACCTGCATTCTGAGCCTGGGCAAGCCTTCCCCTTCCAAAACCTACAAAGGAGGAAAACAAATGAAAACAGGGCATTTAAAAAATAGACAATTCACAGTAAGGATATGGAGCAGTGTTACAGATGGTGTCTGTCAACATTGGCATAACCCCTCCAGGTGAATTTGGCAACGTGCACCAAAAGGCTTTTGTTTGTTAAATTCCCCCAATAAGCATACCTTTGACTTAGCAATTGCACTTCTGAGAATTTATACAATGAAAATAGGTGCAAAAAAATGTATGTGTAAGATTGCTTATTGCCACAGGTTTGTTACAGTGAAAAGCAAACTGTTTTATAGATTTAAAGACATTGTATGTATGGTACAGCCATACAATGACTACCTAGTAATGATCTTTAAAAGGTTTTATAATGATATTCTTAAGGACAAACATATATTTATAATGGAAACCAAACTTTTATCTACCTACCTACCTACCTACCTACCTACCTACCTACCTAACTACATACCATCTATCAGCGCTGTGGATTAATGCGCCAGACTGCAAAGCTGTTTGAACTGCAAGGTTGGTGGTTCAAGCTCACCAGCTGCTCCTTGGAAACCCTATACAAGGTTGCTATGGGTCAGAACTGACTCGACAGCACCTAACAACATCTACTACCTACCTACCTATTTACCTCAAACAAAGAAAAAAACGAAAAAACCTGGACAGGTATATGCCAAAATATTACAAATAATTAATTCTGAGGTGATATTTGCATTTGTGTGTGTGTGTGTGTGATTTTATTTTTTTTCTTCTTGAAACATTGCATAAAAATCTGTTTATGTCTTTTTTTTCATGTTCCTTCAGATGAGTTTTTTTTTAATGTTTTATTGTGAATTCTGTGATAGTTTACATGGGAGAACATTGGTTTTACATTCATTCTATCGTATATCGTCTCAGATTGTAACCATGGCGATATTTGCATTTTAATTTTTACTTCTAATATATTTATTTTACTTTTATACCATAAACTAATATTTCACCATGAGAAAAAAAGATAAAGCAATAATAAAGACACTTTACTCTGGAAGACAAGAGCATGAACTTGGGGCTGAGGAGGCTACCCCATGACCATGACCCCTAGATGTAGACACAGTAGAAAGAACACAAATGCCCTGATCCAACCCTAGGTGTCCTAGGTGTCAGACACCGTGATGCGAGCGGGTCTCACACTTAATTTCCATTTAGAAACCCTGTGTTGTTGACTCATAGTGACCCCATGTGACATAGGGCTTTCTAGGCCATACCTGGTGTGGTGCTGTAGGATAAGAATTGGACTGCCAACCACAAAGTCAGCAGTTCAAACCCACTAGCTACTCCTCAGAAACCCTATACAGGGTCACTATGAGTCAGAACCGACTCCAAGGCATGTAATATAGCAACAACCTTTACAGGAACAAATCTCGAGGCCTTTCTCCCATGAAGCCTCTGGATGGGTTCAGACCAACAAGCTTTTTGCTGGCAGTCAAGTGTTGCCCCCTAGCATCATCAGTATTCTTTGAAGGCCCTATAATGGATGGGCTTATCAGTGACCAACAGAGATATGGCAGCATTTCATCAGAACTGATCGTTAGTCCAGGCCAATAGTGAGCCAGTGGTCAGACCCTGAGGCTGTGACCCAGAGCAGGAGAACTGAAGAGAAGAAATGGGAAGAAAAGTGCCCAAGAAGTGTAGCCAGATCTTGATACACTGCCAGAGAACCAGGTTTCTGGGGTGGAGTGAACAAAGGCAGACAGGGGGCCCTGATGTCCACCTTTGTCCAATTTATACTATTGTTAGGTAATGAAGCTATGAGGATGAGTTAAAAATTATCCACATTCCAGTTATATTAAAATGCCCATGCACATCCATGGCTGATGACAACATTGAGCATGCACGTGAAATGATTCTGTCGAATAAATGATTGACAATGGATTATATGGCAAATCATATACAAATCAGCCATGGCTCTTCCTATGAAATAACCCACGACAGTCTTGGGTTTCAAAGTTTGTGTGAGATGGGTTTCGAAACAACTCACGAAAGAGCAAAAATAGAAGTGTCTGCACAGCTGCAAAAAATATTTGGACCAATACTTGAAGGAAGGTAAAATTGTCTTTTAAAAAATCATTACTGGTGACAAGACATAGATTCATCACATGCATTCATCATGGTAGAGTATGGAATAGAAATATCCTTAATTGACGACCAAGAAAAAGCTCAAAAGTCAACCATCAGCTGGAAAATTGATACTTGCAGTTTGGGGATTCTCAAGGGCCAGTATTGGAACACTATCAAGAAAAAGGTTCAACAATCAACAGTGCTGGTTACACTGAGATGCTCACTGTAGAGCCAAAGCCTAAACTTCAATCAAAATGCAGAGGACCGCTACCCAAGAGCATTGTGGTCTTGCATGATGATGCCCGTCCACACACCTCTGCCCAAACTGCTGACACCGCAGAAACTTCGTTTTGAGGTGTTAAATCATCCTCCCTATAGTCCTGATCTTGCTCCATCAGACTTTCACCTGTTTGGTCCCGTGAAAGCAGCCCTTAGAGGAGGAAGTTCACCTCTGATGAATAAGTGAAGACAGTGGTACATTCATGGCTCTCAGCTCAGCCTAAAACATTTATTTTTTAATAAAGGAATATGAAGACTTGTTGACAGATGGGCAAAGTGTATTGAAAAGCATGGAGATTATGTCCAAACATGATGTATTTGTCATTTCTAAAAGTCGATTAAAATAAATTCTACAGCCAGAGTGGTAGTTTTTGACTCACCCTTGTCTATGTGTGTGTCTTTAATTTTGTCAGGGGCACGGTGCCCGTCTTTTTATTCTAAGTCATGAATTTTGAGACATTTCAAAAACTAGAGTGAAAGACTATTAACACCCTTTGTAAATGAAAACATTATGTTGCAAGTCTGTTAAATTTCTTTCAAAGTGTCTCACTGATAAGTAGGAATGTTTATTTTTCCAGAGCTGTTAGGTGCTCTTTAAGGTTTGAGCATCAGAGTTGAGTAAATCACAGTGACCAGTTTAGACTTCTAGTTTAGGCTGTCTCTAGTACCTTCCTTGCATGTCTCCTGTCCAACCAATTGAGCAAACTTGCTGTCTCTGGAAAAGTCCAGACTTAGCTTGGGAGGTGGCTCAGGCAACTAGAGATGGGATGGGTAATTCAGAAGAAAAACACTCTCAGGAAAAAAAAAAGAAAACAAAACCTGCTTTTGTTTTCAGCCTGGAATTTGGTCAGGGTTTTTGCATAAACTCCAGCCCATGTTTTATGACGGCCATGGCTCCCTGTCATCCAGGAACCAACACAAACTCAGAGAGTCATGAAGAATCTGAAAGCAACAATGGTTTTGGTTTATCCTGAGTGTATATGTCTTCTATTTCACTACCTTTTTGCAAGGGGTAAGAGGTGGGGGGTGGAAGAAGCAGAGAGTAAAACAAATCAACCAGGTCTTTACCCAGTGTCATGAGCTTGAATTGGAGTTACAGTTGTGACTCCAGACTTTGAGCCTCCTCCAGTATAATAAAATCAGAATAACACCGTCTATCTCTAGAGTGCCTTGATACACTGGTGACCAGCAAGCCGTGGTCAGTTCATATTATTGGGGCACTGTAGGATAAGCACAGGACTGCTGACTGAAACGTCCACAGTTCTAATCCATCAGCCACTCATTAGAAACCCTACATGGATCACTATGAGTAGGAACTGACTTGACAGTACTTAACAACCATAACATCTCTTGAAGCCTCAGTTTCCCCATCTGCTAAATGGGGAGAGTAGAAATGTCTAGTACCTGGGCTTGTTATGAACATTGAAGGCAACCAGGTACCTGATGCAGTGTCTAGAACAAAGGACTGGTTCTCATTATTACTATGCTCTGCTTACTTGCCATATTTAATTTTTACTTACTCTTCAGATATTGGCATTATACTTTTTATAGTGACACGATAAGCCTGCTCTCACTTCTCAGCTTTGCATTTAAGAAACCAGGCTCCTTTTTGACAGGAGAGATACCTTCCCAAAGAATGCATTGCCCCCAAGTCCTCACCCCAAGAAAACACAAAACCCTCCAGCTCTCCCACTGGACTCGTGGTAGAACGCTCACCTTGTGAGTGAAGACCCCGCTCCATGACTCCGTGCTTAACTTTCATGTGGCGCGTCAGGTTCCCCTTTAGGGTGAATTTGCTCGGGCAGTAGAGGCACTTGAAGGGCTTGCTGTCAGAGTGCAGGTGCATGTGGCCCATTAGGTTGTGCATCCGGTTGAATTCCTTCCCACAAAGCTGTCAGAGACAGTGACGTGGAGAAGGCATGTTAATCATGGGTGGAGGACTCTGACAAGGTGTGTCCACACACAGGTTCCTGCGAGGGCGGATGAGCGGTGACCCACACTGCTTCTATTTTGGTTTGTTGTTGGTATTGTTAAGTGCTGTTGAGTCTATTTTGACTAATAGAAACCCTGTATAGGGTTTCCAAGGAGTGGCTGGTGGCTTTGAACAGCCAACCTTGTGGTTAGCCTTTGTCATAGATTGAACTATATCCCCACAAAAGACCCACAGCTATCAAGTTGATTCTGACTCATAGGACAAAGTAAAACTGCTCTATAGAGTTTCCCAAATGGTAAATCTTTATGGAAGCAGATTGCCTCAACTTTCTCCCTTGTAGCAGCTAGTGGATTCAAACCACCAACTTTTCCATCTGCAGCCCAATGTGTAACCCACTGTCTCACCAGAGCTCCTTGTCCCCCCGAAAGGCATGCTGTGAATGCAGCCTTGCTTGCCTCTAAAACCCTGTGCAAAGTCCTTATGAGTTGGAACTCACTCGATGGCACTTAACAACAACAACAAAGAGCCCATGATCCTGCCCCATCCTGAATCTGGATGTGTTGGATGCCTAATCTCCAAAACTGTGATATAGTACCTTTCTGTTCTTCAAGGCCACCCACTTTGCAATATTTTGTTACAGCAACTCTAGGAGACTAAGACAATATTCTAAACTGCTTCCAAGGAAAATGTCCCCTGGAAGGTCAGAGAGAAGCTGGATTCTGCTCAGTCTCAGAGGCAAAGCAGGTAGGGAGGAATACGTGAGATTCACGTTCCTGGAGCATGGAGATTTTTTTAAATTCAAGGTAAAGATCTTACAGCCTTTAACACGTCTTCTGAATATGACTTTTGGAAAAGGAAAATAGCTGATTTGAAAAGCAACTGTTCAAAGTTTCATAAGGACATGAGTGTCAGAGAGAAGGGTTGATGCAGTGGCTGCAACAATGTGGGCTCAAATACAGCAACAATTGTAAGGATGGTGTGAAGGACCAGTGTTTCATTCTGTTGTGCCAAGGGACACTGCGAGTCAGAACTGACTTGACGGCACCTAACAATAACAACTTAGTATTTATGAAGCTTTTACAATATGGAAAGCACTCTACTAAGGCTGTCATAAAATACTTATTTTAACTGGTAGCACTGTATGATAAGCACTGGACTACTAACTGAAAGGTTGAAGTTCAAACCCATTAGCCTCACTGTAGGAACAAGATGAGGCTCTCTGTTCCCTTGAGAACCCTATACAGGGTCACTATGATTCAAAACCTACTCGATGGCAGTGAGGTTTTGATCTGATATGAAATACATGCTATTATCACATTTATTTTACAGAAGGACAGACTGAGGGATTGAGTCACTTGGTCAAGGCACACAGCTGGTAGATGTTGCAGCTGGGATAATGAACCCAGGCTACTGGATATCAGAGGCCGCCACACCACATTGTGTCCCTCAAGTATAACTCCTTTGGTTAGACTCTATTGGGCAATGCTTTTCTAATTGTTCCATTTCTGTTCGTTGGAATGAATGTCAAGGTTCAAAGGAGCAAGGAAGACATCTATGGGATGTCTATTTTCTCAGGGTAGAAATCTGAAGTTCAGGTATACAAAAAATAAAAGATACTTTCTTTCTTTCATTTTTTGTCATTTCCAATCCCATCAAGGACTTGTGGTGCGGTGCTGTAGGATCAGCACTGGACTGGGAACTACAAGGTTGGTAGTTCAAACCCACCAGCTTCTTCTTGGAAACCCTATCTAGGGTTGCTATGAGTCAGAGTCGACTCCATGGCCCTTAAGAACAACAACATTCCCATAAAAATTCAAGTGCATGATGGAGCACGACAGTGGTCCTCCACCTTCGTTTGGAAGACTTGAAACTTTGTTTTCAAAGGTTATTTATATAGATGATGGACCAATGGCAGATGCTTGTTGTCTCTAAGCCTTAGCAGAGCAGGATTTGGAAATTAGCTCTTCCTTGGTCATGCTGTAAGGAATTCAAGAAAGGAATTGGGCTTGCACTTGGACCTGAATGTTGAGGGAGGAAACATCCTCCTTCCCTGGCCTTCCTCAGAGGCCAGGGTAGTGGTGCAGCCATATATAGTGAGGGATGCCTCTAAGAGAGGACTCTTGGGGTACGCATGGCCTGAGGCTTCCACCAGTTTCCCCTTTTCACTGAGATACACATTCGAGGTTACTGTTAGAAGTTCTTGATAGACTTTATTAATGAAAGCAACATTTTCTCCAGGTGGCTATGAAGGTGAGATTTGAGCTGCCTTTTGAGGAATGGCTACCTCTAACAAATTTTAAAACTCTTGGATATTTGCCTAAATGAGTGCTGAGTGGTAAGAGGAACCCAATCTGAGTTTGTTATTTTGTCACAGGTAATGTGGCACAGTAGGATAAACTGGATTGGTAACTTCAATGTAAGTCGGCAGTTCAAACCTACCAGTTTTAGAAATCCTATGCAGGGTCGCTATGAGTCAGAACCAACTTGACAATAATTGACAACAATATTTCATATATAGATCATGACTAGTTAGTTCTGTAGTTTAAAATGGCTCTTATTTGGGATTTTAAGAGCTTTTGGTTTCCTAATTAGCAAGAATGAATTTTGCACATCAAAATGGGATGTCCCAAGTTCAGTATTCAGAGTGTATGAAATGGCTTCATTCATTTGAGAATGATAACTCAAGAGGAGGAAAGAATGAGAGAGTTGGTCTGATTTCAACTTCCTTAGGAGAAATCCTCCATATGGATACTTGCTTTCTTAATAGTCTCAATAGAGACAATGTATCAGGACACATCAGCCAGTGGCTCAGTTTTGCACATGTGTCAAGTTCTGGTGGAGTTGTATTTAGTAGTTTAGTTTCTATCCAGTTCTCCATCTGATCATTTGAGCTAGAGAAATGCACCATTAAGCATTTCCAATTGTGAGTCATTTTAGAACAAGTCTCTTTGTTGATAGTTTTGAGTGACCTTGTTCGAATGTCTCATTATGACCTTCAGTCAGTATTTGTTTCAGATCTGTTCTCACTCAACAGACTGCAACATCCATGAAGGCTCTGCCTGAGTTTTTCTTTTTAATTTTATCGAGGTGACATATATATTACAAAAGATTTCCATTCCAACCATTTCTATATGTGTAACTCAGTGACAATCTTCACCGTTACCCTTTTCATCACTCTTAATAGAAAAAGCAGCCCTTATACAATACCTTCCTCTTTCCCCATCCCACTTTCCCATTTTTGTTGTTAGGTGCCTTCAAGGCAGTTCTGACCCACAGTGACCCTATGTACAACAGAACGAAATACCACCTGGTCCTGCTGTATCGTCATAATTGCTGCTACACTTGAGCCCATTATTGCTGCCACTGTGCCAATCCATCTCACTGGGGCTATCCCTCGTTTTCTCTTTCCCTCCACTTTGCCAATCATCATGTCCTTCTCCAGGGACTAGTCACTCCTGACAGCATGTCCAAAGTATGAGAGATGAAGCCTGGTCATTTCTGGCTGTACTTCTTCCAGTAGTAAATAAAGAACAAATCCATTTGTTCTTCTGGCAGTCCATGGTACCTTTAATATTCTTTTCCAACTTCATAACTCAAATGCATCAATTCTACAGTTTTCCTTGTTCACTATACATGATGTTACTGAAAATACCATGGCTTGGGTCAGGCTCACCTTAGTCCTCAAGCTGACATCTTTGTTCTTGAACACTTCAAAGAAGTCTTGTGCCCCAGATTTGCCTAATGCAACACGTTGTTTGATTTCTTGACTGCTCGCTTCCATGAGTGTTGATGGTTGGTCTGAGTGAACTGAAGTCTTTGACAACTTCAATCTTCTCTCCATTTACCATGATGTTATTTATTGATCCAGTGGTGAGGATTTTTGTTTTCTTTACATTAAGATGCAACCCATACCATAGGCTGTGGTCTCTGATCTTTATCAATAAGTATTTTAAGTCTTCAGTTTCAACAAGAAAGGTATCATCTGCATATCACATGTTGTTAATAAGCCTTCTTCCAATCCTGGTGCCACATTCTACTTCATATAATTTAGTTTCTTGGATTATTTGCTGAGCATACAGATTGAATAAGTACGGTTAAAGAATAAACACCTTTCCTGATTTAAAACCATTCAGTGTCCCCTTCTGTTTGAAAATCAATTGCTTCTTGGTCTAAGTACAGGTTCCTCATGAGCACAATTAAGTGTTCTGGAATACTCATTCTCCACAATGTTGTTCATAGCTTCTCATGATTCATACAGTCAAAACCCTTTGTATTGCATAGTCAATAAAGCACACATAAACATCTTTGGTGTTCTCTGCTTTCAACCACGATCTGATGTCAGTGATGATGTCTGGTTTGACACTCTCCTCAGTTCCCTGTCAATGTACTGTTGTAGCCATTTTTAAATTATCTTTAGCAAAATTTTACTTGCATGTGATATTAATATTGTCCAATGTTTTTCACATTCTGTTAGGTCATCTTTCTTTGGAATGGGCACAAATATGGATCTCTTCCAATCAGTTGACTCTGGAAATTACTAACAAACTTTGATTTCTATGCATTTGCCTAATCTAGATATTTCAAAGAAGTGGGATCATATAATATTTATCCTTCTGTGTCTGACTAATTTACTCAGTCTATGGAGGCCTGGCAAGAACCTGGAGGTATAATGTGTTATGTGTTGGAGGGTTAACCACATGGTTGGTGGCTTGAATCCACCAGCCTTTTCATGGGAGAAAGAAGAGGCTTTCTGCTCCCATAGAGATTTACAGCCTCCAAAACCCTATACAGGGTTGCTATGAGTCAGAATTGACTTGACAATAGCAAAGGAGTTCTGGTGACCTCTGTGGGCTAGGTGTTGGGCTTCTAACTGCAAGGTCGGTGGTTTAAACCCACCAGTCACTCCCTGGAAGAAAAAAAAAAAAGTAGTTGTCTGCTCCTGTAAAGATTTATAGTCT